TAAAAACACCTATAAATTTATAAATTTAAATAAAATATACACAGCTACATAGCTAAACAAAACATACGTAGCCTCCGTCATTAGCATCTCTGATTGGCTGAAGTCAGGAGGCTTGGCTCTGCACACCTACTTTAGGAAAGCTCACAGTGGCATTAAGTAATGATTTGTTATCACAGGAAATTCAGGACTGTATCCAGACTGTTTACACTTCAGTGAAAGAAACGCCTGCTGTTACTCAGTTTCCTTTTAAATGTTTCATTACAGAAAAATGGGAATTCTGAGCATTGTTTTCAGTCTATTATGATATGTCAAGATTTCATTTTATTTCTAACCTGATAATTTGTGAAAATAAAAGGAAATCAGCAGCTTTTGTAGGTTTTGGTTTTTTGCATAAGCAGTTTTGAATCTCTCTGGAAGAATCAATGAGCATCTAAGCTTCTCCTTTTTAGCTTCCCTTGGCTGTTTAAATATTAATAGACAAGAGACTGACCTTCAGTCCTACTGCTGAATCATGGAAGCTGAAAAGTGGAATCAATACATCTTTGTGCTAATGATTAACTGATCACAGATTGGAAAATTGTCAGCTCAATTTTCATATTGCCAAATGCTTGATTTAATTTTTTCTGTGTTAAAATCGTTCCAGTTAGAACCTCAATACAGTAAGCAACTTTAAGCACTTTGAAATCAGTTGTAGGACTTACTTAAAAAAGTTGTTGAACTGGAAGCCAAAAGTTCAGATCTACAAACACTGTTAGTTCAGTCCAGATAAATTTCAGCACTTCTGCTGCAGTCGGTGGGGCTACATGATTCTGATCTCACTCAGAGTAGAGCGAATCAGCAGTAATTTCAGTGATATTCAGTGACACAGCATATGCGTGTTTCTCCTGAATAAGGTACGGCTGGACTGAAAGAACTGAGATTTTTATTATTATTGCAGAGTGCTAATTAGCACTGGCTTTTTCTTCTTTCTTTCACAGAGATACGGATATGGTGGATGGGTACAGCTGGATCATCACTGCAAGGTTGGGGCTGTTTGGTGCTCTAAGCTGGTCTTGTGTTGTCATCAGGAATACAAACTCACAGTAAATCTGTTGAAAAGCAAAGTGGCAATAAGATTTGCTATGTCTTTGATACAGATTTCTCTAGAAGTCTATCTTCTGTGAAGTACTATCCCTCCAAGTCCTAATATACCTCAGTAAAACTTTTTTGCTTGAGAGGTGAAACTCACATTCTCTTGTGTAAAGCAGTATCCATTTTTCATCATCATCTCTTTTTAACACTTGGAATCGACAGCTCTAAGGAATTCTTTTCAATAAAATAGGTCAACCTAAAGCAGATTACATGTAGATTTTTTTTTTTGGTTAAATGCAGTTGTCTGTATGAGAAGCAAAACCAAAAGGAACTGGTATTTTAATAAAAGTTAAAGAACTCAGACGTGAAAATGTCTTCACATTTGAGTGAAAGGAAAGAGTAAGTTCTGTAACTTCATGACAAGGAGAACAAGTAGCAGAACAGTAAGGACAATCCATCGATTTGGGGACCGTTATGTAGGAAAGTAGGAGCCTGAGGTTTATTGGCAGGTAAAAGGCAGACTGGGTCTGCTTTTACTTCACTTTTCTATCACCATCCACTCTATTAACAAAGGCACTTCTGAGCTACTGTAGTACAACTGGAACAACATGTGTCCAGATGCCATGAGTCTATGCTAACAGTCCATCTGCATTCAGAATCCATCCTGCTGGTACTGAAGTCAGCAGAATACGTGTATTTACTCTGATGGGGACAGAACTGGTTTCTTAAAGGCTTGATTCTGATCTCACTCAGAGTAGAGCGAATCAGCAGTAACTGTGACACAACAATGTAAAACTTATGAAAGCAAGATCAAAATGTTGCGGTTTATCTTCTGATAAGAGCATTAAAAAATTACCAGTATTAGTCCTTTTTTTTACAGGAGGGCACAAGGACCTAAGAGAGGTAAGGCTGATATGGCAAAATAATTGCCTTTGTACATTACTATGTAGGTTAACTGTTTTAAAGGTGTTACATCTGTTACCATATAAGAACTTTGGCATTTAGGTACCCCCGTCTATCTCAAACACCGTCACAGGAAGCCAGCTTCCTCCTGTGATCTGTCAGCTCCCCGCTCCTAGGGATCTTTTGGAGAGCCTGTCACTGCAAATGGCATTGGCCTCTGGAAGGAGGGAGATTAGAAAGATGGCATTAAAAAGAGATCTTGGGAGACCTCAGTTCACTTTCCACCTCACTTCATAGCTACCTGTCCTAACTTGAAAAACTTCATCTGTAATTGCCTACTACAGGAATGTTGTGAGTTGTACAGATATGGAAGGGGTAGAAGCAATGCAAGGTATTAGCCAGATAATTAAGGAAAAAATACAAAGACAACAGAAGTTGGGTAGATAAAAGCAGAAGGAACAATTTGGATATAGTAAGCTGCAAGAGAAAAGGTGCAAAGTTAAGAGCAGGAATAGCTTAACAAAGAGTGTCAGCCCATAACCCACCTAAGGCATGTGAAGAGTGCAAATAACTGGCTAAACCCAGCAATGTGATATAATGGCAGGCTACATGCGCAGTGTTTTACACGGGTTAATCTGTCTCCGTCTTCTGAAATTCAGACATGATCTCAGTATAGGAATTATACACTGAAAACTAGAGTGATAAGTGGTAGAAGGATTTCGTACTTGGCATTTTCAGGGTGACAGTGCCTCTCCCTATCTGGGTGACCTTATAAAGAAAATAGTATCCAATCTTCTTCATTGTTTCTTTTTGTGACTTGGCTAATTCATTCATTCTCTGTAGAGATTTAACTTTTATTGTCTTTAGAGAAGCAAGACTTGCATCTTCCAGGTAACCAAGGTATTTAAATATATCATGCCTGTTCATTTCAGTGGAACTAGACATTCCCTCATCTCCTTGTCACTTTGCAAAATCATATTTCTTTGTGATTGTATATATGCGTATATTAACTGAAAAGAGCTGATAAAATGGGTACAACACTGTGTCTATTTATTGCAACCTAATGATATGCACACTTTTGTCATTCTATAACATGCAAGACTATGCTGTCAAATGCCTAACAACCATTTATGAAAAAGGACCACAGAATATGAAGGTTGGGACCGAGAATGAGGAGCAAACAAACATTATGTTGAAATTTCAGATCTGAGTCTAAGCAGGCATAGGAGGAGACAACAAGCCACCTGCTG